CTGGCAGTCCTCGTCTCTGCAGCCCGTGCGGAAACACAGAACACCCAGGAAATCCTGGAGATCGTCAAGCGTATCATTCTCATGGCGTCTTGCTTCACTGCGGAGGAGGGGAGGGCGCGGAGGAGGGCGGATTCCGAGCGCGGGTCCGGCCTCGCGAGCTCCTCCAGCCTCACGCTGGCGAAGCGCAACCTCAGGGGGATCACGGCGGGGAAGCCACAACGGGGCCAGGCGCTGCGCACCGACCCGATTCTGTCAGACGGCCGACTCGACGCTGTCGCAACTTGGTTGGAACCGTCTTCGGTCTGAGAGGCTGAACGGCCAGTTGTCCAAAGCAGGATCCGAAAGCCGAGCCAGGCTCGAAGAGGCGTGCCATGCCTCGGAAGTGTGTGTTAGTCGCCCTACGTCGCCCTACTATGGAGGGTTGCATCCGCCATCGCGCCTCTGGTACGAAGTGGAGTACCCCAAGGCTCACAACTGAGGTGCCGCTGCTGCCGTCTTGGGCGCCCCTTAGACCGTCATGGGGGATTCTTGACCAGTCTTGGGGCCCTGTTGAACCGTCTTGAAGACTCCTTGCGCCGAAATGGTTGCTGTGGCGATCCAAAGAAGCGAACATGCTAAACACACCAGTTTTCCTCCAAGAATGAAACGATTTGAGCCTCCTGGCGCTCTCTTCAGGGGCTTCTTAGAGCGCCTTTGGGGCGTGTTTGGGGCCTCTTGGCTTTTCTTGCGGCGATATTGGGGCGTCTTCGAGCGCTCTCTAGGCGTCTTCGAGGCCTCTTGGGCTGTCTGGAGGCGATCCTGGGAGCCCTTGGAATGCTCTCGGGCGGTGTCGAAAGCCATCGAAACGATACGTGTATAGATTTAGGTATGCATACACATCTACATACATATATATATATATACATATACATATATATATATACATACATACATACATACATACATACATACATACATACATACATACATACATACATACATACATACATACATATATACATACATACATACATACATACATACATACATACATACATACATACATACATACATACATACATACATACACAAGGCTCCATTGGCGCTTCGCGCCATGCCCCTTGTTCCTTGAAGTTTTGGAATGGTTGGCCCGTGGTGTCATCCGTTTTTTCCATTTTAGCCGCGGTCCGCTGGTTCGTACTTCGGAGAAGCACAGGAAGAGCAGAAAGGAGGACAATCAACCTGGGACGGGCCAAAACTGCGAGTTGGATGCTCCTCCTCCTCATTCTCCTCCTCCGCTGAAGCCAATGGAAAATTAACGAGTTGGAAGCTTTTTGGAGCTTCGCCAGAGCTCCCCAGGGAGCCTCCCGAAGCTCTTTGGAGCTCTCTTGGGGCCTCCTTGGGCCCTTTCGGGGCGGCAGGCTCGTATTTTCAGTTATCTGGTCCTCCCTGGGGCCCTTCTTTGGGCCGTCTCGGAGCTCTCGTGGGCCGTCTTGGACCGTCTTGGGGCGCGTCTTGGACCGTCTTGGGGCTTTTCAGGAGGCTCTGGGAGCCCCTTGGGCCGTTGTGGAGCGGTTTGGGGGGCTTCTTGGGCAGTCCTGCAACGTGGGAAACCCGAAAAAGCGAGGACGCTGAAAACATTGAAAAACTAATGGGAAAGTAACATGTTTGAATGTTTTTGGAGCCCCACCGATTTAGCCGCGGTCCGCCGGTTCGTACTTCGGAGAAGCGCAGGAAGAGCAGAAAGGGGGACAATCAACCTGGGACGGGCCAAAACTGCGAGTTGGATGCTCCTCCTCCTCCTCATCCTCCTCCTCCTTCTTCTCCTCCTCTGCTGAAGCCAATGGAAAGTTAACGAGTTGGAAGCTTTTTGGAGCTTCGCCAGAGCTCCCCAGGGAGCCTCCCGAAGCTCTTTGGAGCTCTCTTGGGGCCTCCTTGGGCCCTTTCGGGGCGGCAGGCTCGTATTTTCAGTTATCTGGTCCTCCCTGGGGCCCTTCTTTGGGCCGTCTCGGAGCTCTCGTGGGCCGTCTTAGACCGTCTTGGGGCGCGTCTTGGACCGTCTTGGGGCTTTTCAGGAGGCTCTGGGAGCCCCTTGGGCCGTTGTGGAGCGGTTTGGGGGGCTTCATGGGCAGTCCTGCAACGTGGGAAACCCGAAAAAGCGAGGACGCTGAAAACATTGAAAAACTAATGGGGAAGTAACATGTTTGAATGTTTTTGGAGCCTCACCGAAACGTCTTAGGGGGCCTCCCGAGGCCCTTTGGAGCTCTCTTGGGGCTTCCTTGGGCTCTTTCGGGGCGGGAGGCTCGTATTTTCAGATCGTGGTCCCTCCTAGGGCTCCTCTTTGGGCCGTCTTGGAACGTTCGTGGGCCATCTCGGACGCGTCTTGGGCCGTCTTGGGGCTTTCTCAGAGCGCTCTGGGAGCCTCTTGGGCCGTTGTGGGGCGGTTTTGGAAGCTTCTTGGGCGGTCTTGGAGCGTCGGACACCCGAAAAAGCGAGGACGCTGAAAACATTGAAAAACCATGGAAAAGCAACAATTTGGGATGTTTTTGGAGCCTCACCGGAGCTACTTAGGAGGCTTCCCGAGGCCCTGTGGAGCTCTCTTGGGGCCTCCTTGGGCCTTCTCGGGGCGGGACGCTCGTATTTTCAGTTCGTGGTCCCCCCTGGGGCCCCTTTTTGGGCTGTCCTGGAGCGTTCGTGGGCCATCTCGGGCGCGTCTTGGACCGTCTTGGGGCGCTCTCAGCGCGCTCTGGGAGCTTCTTAGGCCGTCTTGGATCGGTTTTGGGAGCTTCTTGGGCGGTCCGGGAGCGTCGGGAACCCGAAAAAGCGAGAACGCCAAACACATTGAAAAACCAATGGAAATTCAATGATCCCCCTTTGAGAACGGTCTTGGGTCTCTCGCGGAGGGTCTTCAAGGCTACCCGGGTGCTATCCTGGACTGTCTTGGGTGTCTCTGTGGGCTTGCGCCGACCGATTTGGCACTGCCGCCCGCCTGCGCGCACGCATTGGAAAGGATTTTCGGCCGCCCCCGTGGCACGGATCCAGGGGGTCCCGTTTCGGGGGGGGGGGTCCGCACCCCCGGAATTACAAAAATATAGAAAAGGGAACATATATATATATATATATGTATATATATATATGTGTACACACACGCGCACGTATGCAAGCACAAAAACAAACGTATGCAGATGTGTTGTCATATATATATATATATGTGTGTGTGTGTGTCTGTGCATGTATATTCATATGTAAATGGACTCATGCATGTACGTATACGCATGAATGTGTATATAAACATGTATATACGTATAGTATGTGTGTACGCGTGTATGTGTGTATGTATGTATGTATGTATGTATGTATGTATGTATGCATGTGTGTAGTTTACGTGTATGTATGTATATGTATATGTATATGTATATGTATATGTATATGTATATGTATATGTATATGTATATGTATATGTCTATGTATATGTATATGTATATGTATGTGTATATGTATATGTATATGTGTATGTATATGTATATGTGTATGTGCGTATGTGTGTATGTGTGTATGTGTGTATGTGTATGTGTGTATGTGTATGTGTATGTGTAGGTGTAGGTGTGTAGGTGCGTATGTGTGTATGTGTGTATGTGTGTATGTGTGTATGTGTGTATGTGTGTATGTGTATGTGTATGTGTATGTGTATGTGTATGTGTATGTGTATGTGTATGTGTATGTGTATGTGTATGTGTATGTATGAATGTATGTGTAGATGCATGTATGTATGTATGTCTGTATGTGTGTATGCATGTGTGGCGGTATGTACGTACGTATGTGTGTGTATGCATGTATGCACGTGTGCATGCATATGCATATGTGCGAACGCCTGGTCCCATCGTGTGAGCCCGGACCCCCGAAATCGGTGTCCCATCGTGGCCCCGCATCGTGGTCCCCCTATCAGGGTCTTCTGCTGGCAGGGTGCCGTTGGTTCTCTTCTGACATGGAAGACCGCCAGCTTCCACCCCATCGTCAATCAGCCTGGCGAAATGCTGGCAGGCTGGCTCCGCACAGAAGACAGGCAATAGCGTACGATCCGCTGGCACCCCCTTATGGGGCCATGAGGCTGCGAGGACTGGGTGATCCATGTCCCTGCAACGGTTCCAGTTCCCAAGCTGTAAGTATCCAGAGTCCCTGTTCTAGTTCCACAGTTGTAATGAATGAAGGCCGCTCGAGGGGGCGAGGCCGAAAAGGAACAACTAACCAGGCCAGGATGGACATGATGGGGTTCTCAGAATTTCCCTGGGTTGCCCTGAGAAGCGCAAAATACCTCGAATTCGCGCGCCCCAAGCAACGATGCCTAATCCATTACACCACAATTTCGCCCCCGAGGCAACAATCCTTTATACATTACACCATGCCCACGCTCCCCAAGCCACAAGCCCTTGTGAGTTACGCCGTGCTCGCGCTCCACAGATCAGAATCCCTTGCGGGTTACTACGGGATCGCGCCCACGAGACCACAATCCCTTGTACGTTATTCGCGCTCCCGAGGCCACGATCCCTTTCAAATTACGCTAGACACGCGCTCTCCAAGCCACCATCTGTCGACAACTACGCCAGGCTCGCGCTCCCGAGGCCACAACCCCTCAAGATTTACAAGAAAGCCGCGCCCCCGAAGCCACAATCATCAGCACGCTACAACGCCCTGGCGTCCCCGAAGACAGACTGCCTGGACAATTTCGCCATGCTCGCGTTCCCCAAGCTGTAGTCCTGTAGATTGCATCCGGTTCGCGCTCCCGGGGCCACAACCCCGGCAGCTTACTACAAGTTCGAGCCTTCGAAGCCACAATCCCCTGTAATCCAAATACTACGCGCTGGCGCTCGGCGCACGATCCCTCCTCACGGAGGCCCTCCAGATGCGCCACCACTCTCCAAAGCAGACAAGCTGCAACATGCTCTGTATTGGAATGTGTTCGGGGGGCGCTTTTCGGCAACCCCCCCTTCGTTTCCTGATTTTTCGGCCCTGGGCTCGAGGCCACGAATCCTCGTAAACAGAAATATCTAGGTTTAGGTCGGGCCTGTCCCCCTACAGGCGGATTTTGGATGAAAAATTAAAAATACCCCAAAGTACTCAAGACAATCGCATAAATGGTCAAAAAATAATCCCCTGACTATTTTTGGAGTATTTCTGAATATTCCCCCTGTAGGGGGACAGGCCCGACTTAATCCAGGCGTGCGCGCCCCCGAAGCCTCGAACCCCCGTGGATCGCAGTGGAAGCGCGCTCCCGAGGCCACCACCCCTTTCTGGTTACTACAGACGCGCGCAGCTGGCCGGCCAGCAGAGAGCCAAAATCGATGGCCCATGACGACTTCAGGCAGCAATCGAAGGGGCCCTGGGACACACAAATGAACAGACACAAATAACCGGATTCCCCATATATTTTATATCTTCTGGGTTTTTGCCTTCCCCCCCACTTCCCATATTTTCCTGCATTTTCTGGGGATCGACGATTAATTGTGTCTGTGTGTTTTTCCCCTCCTGAGTTATTACAGACGCGCGCAGCCAGCCAGCCAGCAGAGAGCCAAAATCGATGGCCAATGACGACTTCAGGCAGCAAGCCAATCGGCCGAGCTGCCAGCCAGGCAGCCGACAAGAAACCCAGCCACCCCACCAACCGAGCGTGGCCGCGCAAGCAATCTGACGGGGACCGGCGGCGAAGGGCGAAGCTTTCTCAGATGCCCCTGTCCCACGCGCGGTGCCCTCAGCAGACGGCCCGAGACACCCGTCGACGAGCACGCGGGTCGCCCCGAGCATGCACCGATCGCCGGGCCACTCTTCGCCCGCACGTGCGACGCCCTCCCGAGGAGCGGCCAGCGGTGCACCGCCGGTGTCCTCGACATCTCCATGCGTTGGGGGCCCCCAAACGGGGTGGTGACCACACCGTGCGGTGAGTCGGTGGGGATTCGGGGTCACCGCACGGTTTTGGGACTCGGGTCGTTCTCTGAGGATGTCTCGGGCGACAGGGGCATCCGAGGTCCCAAAACCGTGCGTTGACGGACCGTGCGGTGAGGTCTTGGGGGATTTCGAGGTCACCGCACGGTCTGTCACCGCACCGTTTTTGGACCTCAAATCATGCGACTCCGCGGGCCCACCGGGGCCCAAACATTCCGCAGCCCTGGCTCCTCCTCCTCCTCCGAGGCGCCTCTCTGCGCTCACGCCGGCCTCCTTCGCGCCCTTGAGCGCACTCTCCAGCCGCGCACGGCCGCCGGGGCCGATCCCCTTCGAGGCCTCTCTCGGGCGGGGGGGGGGCGCGCGGGCGAAATGAAGAAGGGAGGAGGAGGAGGAGGAGGAGGAGGAGGAGGAGGAGGAGGAAGAAGACCAGTGCAAACCCAAGACCCATCAACGATGTCGCAATCAACATTCCCTCCAAGTTCCCTCTTCATAGGTCCTTGTAAAAAATGTGTCCCTCCATTTCCTTTCCTCCTGCTCCCTGCCTGCAGTCTCTGCCTGGCCCCTCTTCCGCCTGCCCGCCCGCCCCGCCAACCCTGGCCTCCCGCCTGCGCGTTCGTCGTCGTCTGCCTGCGTCTCCCCTCCTCGCCCCCTTCCGCCGGGCAGCACAGCCTGCCCTGGACCAGCGTGGCGGCGTGTGTGAAGGGGCCCTGGGACCCACAAATAAACATACACTAATAAGAGGATTCCCCATATGTTTCATATTTTCTAGGTTTTTGTCCTCCCCCCCACTCCCCATATTTCCCCATATTGTGTCTGTGTGCTTCTTTCCCTCCTGAGTGTGGGGCTTCAGCCGACGGCAGCTTCAGAGGCATCCGCGACGGGCGCCAGAACAGCTCGGGGCCGCGGGCCTCGCGAAGCTCGGCCTCGGCCGCGGCGGCCTGGTCCTGCCAGCCGCGGCGCCGCGCGAGCTCCCGGTCCGCCGCGAGCGTGTCCAGGCCGAGGCGCCGAGCCTCGCAGCAGTGCGTCAGGGCGGCCGCCAGGCAGTGGCCAAGTCGTCGGCGTCGGCGTCGTCGTCGTCGTCGTGGGCGTCGGCGTGGGCGTCGGCGTCGTCGTCGTCGTCGTGGGCGTCGGCGTGGGCGTGGACGTCGGCGTCGGCGTCGGCGTCGTCGTCGTCGTCGGCGTGGGCGTCGGCGTCGGCGTCGGCGTCGGCGTCGGCGTCGGCGTCGTCGGCGTCGTCGGCGTCGTCGTCGGCGTCGCGCCGAAGCGTGGTGGGCCAGAACAGGCGGCGCGACACGCTAGGGCAAAGTTCCTGGCCGTACACACCCACAACGACCCTGGCCAGGCTCCCCTTGGGCCCAGGATCGGTGCGTGCGCCCACATGGCCTGGGCAGGAAGGCATACACACTGGAGAGAAGAGAGAGAGAGAGACAGAAAAGCAGGAGACAGAGAGGGAGAACAAGAAAGAGAGAGAGAGAGAGAGAGCGAGATAGAGGGAGGTCGACAGAGAGAGGCAGAGCGAGAGAGAGAGAGAGAGAAAGACGATCCTGGGCCCAAGATATCGACCTAGCCAGGACCAGTCTAGGTACAGTTGGTGCCCAGCTGCCAAGTGTTGCCCTCGACCCTCCGAAGGAAAAAGTGGTGGAGGTTCTCGGAGGTGTGTGTCCCTTGCCAGGACTCCAGAAGCCTCCGGAAGCCTCCTGGGACCTCCCAGGACCTCGATGGGACCTCCAGGGGTGAGGTTCCAGGGCGGCAGGGCGGCAGCAAAACTTGCCACGTCCGTCTGAGAAGCCTCCTCCACCTCCCCCCTCTAAGCCCGTGTCGCACTCGTCTTTCCAGCGTGGCGGTTCCCGCAACGAAGAGGAGTGCCTGCGGAAACGATGCGAGGAGGAAATTTGAGATGGGAGGGTGTACTCCTGAAGCGCTGATGCAGCTGGGGTTTACTCTGGCCATCCTCCTACTCCTACTCCACATGCTCCTCCTCCTCCTCCTCCTCCTCCTCCTTCTCACCCTCCTGATCATCATCAGTATCATTACCATCATCAGCAGCAGCATCATCATCATCGTCATCATCAGCCGCAACAGTAGCATCATCATCATCATCATCAGCATCATCATCATCGGCATCACCACCGCCACCGCAACCACCGCCAACATCATCGTCATCATCATCATCATCATAATCATCATCATCATCACCATCATCATCATCATCATCATCATCATCATCATCATCCAAATCGTAATCACCATCATCATCCAGCATCATCATCATCATCCTCATCATCATCCACATTACCATCATCACACAGCATCAGCATCGTCGCAATCATCCTCCTCATCACCAGCATCATCACCATAACCAGCATAATCATCGTCATCATCAGCATCATCAGCATCACCATCATCATCGTCATCATCATCGGCATCACCATTACCATCATTCAACATCAGAATCAGCATCATCAGCATCACCATCGTGATCATCATCATACTGAACATCGTCATCATCGCCATCATCATTCGCATCATCAACCGCAGCAGCAACAGTACCATCAGAAGCACCATAATCGTGACCAGCGACATCGCCTCCATCGTCTTACTCGTCATCGTCATCATCAGCATTGTCATCGTCGTCGTCATCGCCATCAGCATCATTGTCAGCTTCATAATCGTCATCAGCGGCATCGTGTCAATGATCAGCATCACAATAATGGCAAGCCTCATGCTTATGAACAGCATTATCATCAGCATCATCATCGTCGTCATCGTCATCAGCATCGTCATCATCAGCTTCGTCAGCATCATCATCACCTCCATCATCATCATCATCATCATCATCATCATCATCATCATCATCATCATCATCACCATCATTACCATGGAACATCATGCTCATCCTCATCATCATCGCCACCGCAAACACCACCGCAATTATCAGCATCAGCATCATCATCATCAGCATCAACATCATCATCATCATCATCATCATCATCATCCAACTCCTCCTCCACCTCCTCCTCTTCCTCCTCCGCACCCTCCTGATCTTCATCGTCATCATCATCAGCAGCAGCATCATCATTATCAGCACCATCATCGTCACCAGCATCATCATCCGGCATCACAAGCATCAGCATCGTCAGCAGCATCGCCATAACTACCCTCCTCCTCCTCAGCATCGTCAGCATCAGCATCAGCATCATCATCATCATCATCATCAGCATCGTCATCATCATTGTCATCATCTTCACAATCATCGCCATCATCATCATCATCATCATCATCATCATCATGACACCGTCCTGGACATCGTCATCATCGCCATCATTATCCGCAGCATCAGCCGAAACAGCAACAGCACCATCAGCAGCACCATACTCATCTCCATCGACATCGCCGTCATCGTCTTACTCATCCTCGTCATCATCATCGTCACCGTCGGAATCATCGTCACCAACAGCGTTATTACCTTCATGATCGTCATTATCGGCATCATGTCAATGACCGGCATCAATAAAATCGTGCGCCTTCTGTCTATCAACATCCTCATCATCCTCATCCTCATCATCGTCATCATCGTCGACATCGTCATCATCATCAGTATCAGCATCATCATCACCACCATCACCATAATTACCATCATCATCGTCATCCTCATCATCATCGTCATCATCAGCAGCATCATCGCCCTAAACATCGACATCATCGACATCGTCGCTCGCATCATCACCATCATCACCATCAGCATCATCATCAGCATCATCGCCATCATCGTCATCATCAGCCGCAGTATCATCATCAGCAGTATCAACATCATCAACAGCATCGTCGCCAGCGACATCATCGCCATCGACATTCGAGGCATCACCATCATCATCAGCATCATCAGCATCATCATCATCCGTATCTTCATCAGCATCAGCAACAGCATCAACATCATCGTCATCGTGATCGTCATCGTCAGCATCAGCGTCATAATCATGAGCAGCAGCAGCATCATCATCCTGAACATCGTCCTCATCGCCATCGTCATTCGCATCATTACCATCATCACCAGCAGCACCATCATCATCAGCATCATCATCAGCAGCATGAGCATCAGCATCATCATCTTCACCATCATGATCCTGAGCATCGTCATCATCGTCATCATCAGTCGCATATTCAAACGCAGCAGCAACAGCATCATCAGCAGCACCAGAATCATCCCCCGCAGCATCGCCTTCATCGCCTTACTCGTCGTCATCATCATCATCATCAGCATCAGCATCAGCATCAGCATTATCATCATCAGCAGCAGCATCAACATCATCGTCATCGTGATCGTCATCGTCATCGACATCAGCAGCAGTGTCATCTTCACAATCGTCATCAGCGGCATCATGTCAATGATCAGCATCATCATAATCACAAGCCTCATGATTAGCATCATCATCATAATCGTCGTCAGCATCATCACCATCATCATGATGAACATCATCATTATCATCCTCATCACCATCAGCATCAGCATCATTATCGTCATCATCATCAGCATCATCAGCATCAGCATCCTCGCAGAGATATCATCATCATCATCATCATCATCATCATCATCATCATCATCATCATCATCATCATCGTCACCGTCGTCATCATCAGTATCACCATCATCGTCCTCCTCATCATCATCACCACCATCATCGTGATTACTCTCATCCTCTTCCTCGCCATCGTCTGAATCAGCCTCATTCGAATCATCATCCAAATGTTCATCTCCACCCTCCATGCAGGGAGGGAGGCAGGCATCATCATCAAAGTCCTCCTCCTCATCGTCCACATCACTCCAAGCAAGAAGGAGGGGCGTCCTCCTCCACGGCCTCCGACAGCGCCTCCAAGTCGCGGTCCGGGCGGCCCCCTCCTGGTCGCTGCCCGGCTGCCTCCCGCAGCCGCTGCTCCACCGCGCGACGGGCCTCCTGTACGCCCCGCCGCCGCGAGCCTCGTCGTCGTCGTCGCCGTCGGCCAAGCTTTGCCCTCCGAGGGGGAGGAGAAGCAGCCCGAGGAGGAAGAAGAGGAGGAGGGGGAGGAGGAGGAGGAGGAGGAGAAGGAGGAGGAGGGGGGGGCAGGAGGAGGAGCAGGAGGAGGAGAAGGAGGAGGAGGAGGAGGAGGAAGCAAGGAGGAGGAGGAGGAGGAGGAGGAGAAGGAGGAGGAGGAGGGGGGGGAGCCTGAGGAGGATTTCCTTGGAGGCCCGACGGCAGAACGTAACATGCGCACTCAAAGCAAACGTGCGGCTGCAGCAGCCGCAGCTTCCTCTTAGCCCGAACACGGGCAACCAGCGCCTGCATCCCAGGAGATTGGATGAGGCGCGTGGCCGAGGTGGCAAGCCGCAGCGCAGGACGCGCTGCCTCCCGCAGCACCTCCTGCTCCGAGCCTCGGCCAGAAAAGGAGCCCTCGGCAGAGATCGTGCCGCCGAGCCTATCGTGCGGAAAACGACCCTGGTTTATAAGGGCAACTGCGGATCTGCCACTGCGCCCAGGAACGCCAGGGAAATGACCACCAAATTAAAAGCATGTCTGGCTGGCGTAAGACCCGCAACGAGAACAACCATGAGTGGCAAACCTCCTGGCGTCAGCACGCTGGCCGCACAGAGGAGGTGTCCATGCTCGCTCTCAGCGCCCTCGAGGCGCTTCAGCGCAGTGCTAAGGCCAGGACACTGGAATATCGGCCGCTGGTCGCCATATGAAACTTTAAAACATCGCGAGGATCGAGCGGCAGCTTGCAAACCGTCAGTTTCGAGAGAAACCCAGTCGTGCCACTGATGGGCTCGCAGGGTCATGGACCTAGATCCTGAGGGGTCCCGGCGAAAAACAGGTTTCGGGTACAGCGAGAGAACCGCCGCGAACATCGAAACGAGTCTCTTGATCCTGCCTACGACCACATCAAGCTGAGCGAGGTATTACTCAGGCTTGCTAGGGTGCATGGACATCGCGAATTGAGCCTGCCGATCCGCATCCTGACTCATCAGGGCGATCTTCTTCTGCGTGGAAGTGAGAAAGAGAGAGTGAGAGAGAGAGAGAGAAAGAGAGAGCGAGAGAGGCCATGTCATCATCAGAGCAATGGGCAGGCATGTGAGAAACCGAAACAATCGAGCTGTGACCCTCCTCGGCCAACGCTCTCCGCCTGATGGCAGCAAAGACCATATCGGGCGCTAGCGGCTGATCACGCGGAAGATTGTGAAGATTGACGGCGCCGAGCCAATCACTGTGAGCTCTACTCTGTCCCATGGCCATACAATTGAACATCGCAAGGCCAAGCTGCTCCCCTGGCCGGACCGTGTCTATCACGCGAGCCGTAACCCTGTAGTGGTCACCAGGCTCCGCAAAAATCATAGAATGCGTGGCCCTATTCGTCACGTGAAACACCGTTTAGTTGGAGGAGCCCGAGGAGGAGGAGAAGGAGGAGGAGGAGGAGCCTTAGGAAGCGCAGAAGAGGAGCCTGAGGAGGGACAGCCTGAGGAGGAAGAGGAGGAGGACGCGACTTCAGCTCTGCCAGCGCTGGCGTGGCTGCGGTCGCCGAGGCTGTTTGGGCTCCTTCTCATCATCATCATCATCATCATCATCATCATCATCATCATCATCATCATCATCATCATCATCATCATCATCATCATCATCATCATCATCATAATTTTCATCATCATCAGCATGACCATCATCATGAGCAACAGCATCATCGTCATCACCATGATCAACACCATCACGTCATCATCATCACCGTCCTCATCGTCATCATCATCAGCAGCAGCATCATCCTCATCATCCTCGTCCTCATCCTTATCCACCACATCCTCTTGCTCAAAGGAGGAGGAGGAGGAGGAGGAGGAGGAGGACAAGGACCAGGAGGAGGAGAGGAAATATTCGAACGTCTTTGTCCCCTGTCGGATCTCCTGCGTCGCCCGTCGGAGGTGGGAAGAGGAAGAAGAAGAGACGAGCGGCATGCGGAGAGTCCGCGCCCGTGGAGGGCTGCCAGTACACCGCCCGCTTCTCGCACGCGCTTCTCTCAGGAATTGACAGAACAAAAGATATACCGATGTAGCGTCACAAGCAGACAACAAAAAACAGCATCGCACAATTGCTGCACTGTAGACGATGGCGTGGCTCAGTCTGTCCAGCGTTTGAGCGGCCTCCTCGGCTGGCGCAGCCCAAACGGGATCCACTGTAGCAATCGGCGAGCCCACCGGCTGCCCTGGGCACGTGCAGTTTCTTGCATAAGCTTGTCCTTGCGCTCCTTCTGCACGTCCACCCAGCTCTTGATGCCTGCACGGTCGCGTGGTTCCTCTGCTTTGCGGGTGGCCCTGATGACCCATTCCACCCAGGGCTCCAGAACCGCCTCTCCGTCGTCGGTCACGATTCTGCGCCGGCCACAACGGACTATCTTTCGAAGCGTGCGCCTTTGCTCCGAGAGAAATCGACTCGCTCTGTCGCCCGTCATCGTCCAAGCACCACTTCCATAGAGCACTGGACGTCACGACTGCGTCGAAGAGTTTCAGCCTCGACTTCAGGGAGTAGTGCTGGCCGCACAGCTCGTCGCGAAACTTCCCAAACGCCGCCCATCCCCGGCTGATTATGTGACTGATTTCTGCATCGTGGAACGCGTTGAAAGATAGTTGCCGGCCCAAGTACTGCACGCTGCCGTCAAACGGGAGAACCTCCACAGTCCCATCTCCGACCTGCACGTGCTTCTGCCGGAGAACCCTCCTCCTCTCCGAGTTGTTCGACCGGATTTTGCTCTTCCCCGGATGCAATCTCAGTCCTGCTTTCGACGCCGCTTCTCGCAAGTCTTCGAGCATGTGCCGCACAGCAGCCCGAGACGCACCCAGAATCATAATGTCATCTGCGAAGCGGAGGTTCGTTCAGTAATTGGCGTTCAGCTCGATACCGCGCCACTTCGCCCACCACTTCTCTTTCAACGCGCGCATAACCTGCTCCAGAACAGCTTTAAACAGAGTTGGGCTCATCGGGTCGCCCTGCGACTGGGCCGGTCGGACACCACCTGCCCTTGCTGTTGACCATATAACCTTGCAAGCAGATTGACGGAATTCTGCGGCAGGCCCTGCCTCATAAGTGATTCCCATATCGAGATGTGTCGCACGGAGTCAAAAGCTTTCTCGAAATCCACCGCGGCGGCCCACACCTCTTGATTGTACTCCAGCGCTTTCTCTTGCAAGAGAACAACTATCAACAAGTGGTAACCGCAAGAAAAGCCTTTCCGGAAGCAGGCCTGGTCCTCCGATTGTTCTTTCTCCAAGTAGCGCAGCAGCCGCGCGTGGAGCACCATGCTGAAAAGCTTGTAGAGCATGGGCAATATCGAAATCGGCCTGTAGTTGGACGGGAGCTTCGGATCCCCCTTCTTGAACAGAACCTTGATGCACGTATGTCGCCACTCCTCTGGCGGCTCTTGTTTCTTAGACAGTATGGCCGTGAAAAGCTCCGAAATGGCCTCGTACAGGTGCGCCCCGCCATGCTTGAACATCTCAGCGACGACGTTTGCACGGTCCGCCGCCTTGCTCTTCTTCATACGCCGCACCTGTTTTTCGACCTCGTCAGGCGTGACGCGAGGAATGCCTCCTGGGCCTGGCTGCTCTCGTCTGCGTACAGCTCCGAGTAGAAGGTGGCACACACGTCTACGATGCTCTGCCGCTCTGTCTGAAGTTCCCCGTTCGCGTCCTTCACGCTCGTGAGCAGATGATGTTTGTGATTACTCTTAATGCCCGGAATCAAGCCGAACCCAGAGTGACGAAGCAAAATGTCGTCAATCTGCTGTGTTCGCCAGCGCCGCTCCCACAATCGCAGTTCCTTCTGCATATCTTTGCTGATCTCCTTCACTGACCGGCCGTGGACACCGCCGTCTGCGCGGGCTTGGCGCCTTTCCCTGATCAGGTCTTGGATTTTTGGAGGCGTGGCTTTCGGTGAACGTTGCCCCTGCTCTCGTTCGCGAGCACACTTTTCAGCGCATGTGCCCAAAATCTTCTCTATCTGTCTACATCCGCGGGGCACGTCCCACCAACCATTATTGCTGCGTTGCTCTTGACGCCGTAACTCTGCATCCACGCAACAAGCGCATGATGCTTTGTCTGTTGGTTCCCATCGGACTGCACGCAACTACGTTGAAGAACGTTTTCTCCTTGTCCCGGAAGGCATCTGCAACGACAACTTCACGGGCCTGTGGTCCAACCCGACACCTATGTCATTGCACGCCTGTGAGTTTTGGGGAAGGCCCATTGTCTTAGCACACACACACACACAAATAATCCATTTGCCTCCGTACTCCGCCAACAACGTGCGTCCATTTAGCACCCAGGGGGTTCTCGAACACAGCATTTGCTATTCTCACCGTCTCTTCTTCCACCCATGCGTCCAAGCGCTCTCCTCTCGCATTTCTCTCACCGAAGCAGTGGGCGCCGATATTCCGCGTGCTTTGGCTTTCCCCAACTTTGCCCACGGATTCATTCCAGTCTCCGCCAGATACGAAAAGCAGATTATTCCTCGAAACTGGTTTTTTCAATAGAGAGAGCTGCTCGTAAACCACCTCGACATATTCGTCGTCGCACCAAGAATGAGGCATGTATACGGACACAAGTTTACATGTAAATCTTCCAATTCTCACATCTGCCCAACATAGCCGTGAACTGTGCGCTGTGAATGATCGCGCAGGTGTCGCCCATCGTTTGCGCAATAGGATTGCGACTCCCTGGTGGCCCTCGTCCCGGCCAGCTCCCATGAATAGGTGCCCGTCCTCTGTCCGAAACTGTTCTTCTACAGTTTCGCTCCAAGTCTCGCTCAACATGACAAGGTCCCAACGTTCTAAAGTAGAGAGCTCCACCAAAAGCTCTTCGAAACGCGTTCCTGTCTTGACCGATTGGACATGTTTGCGATAAAACACCATAGCGCAATTTTCCGAAACATCTGGTTCCCCT